GCAGAGTAAAGTGGCAGAATCCCCTCTCTGGACCTTCTGGCAACGCTTCTTTTGATGCAGCCCAGGATGCGATTGGCCTTCTGGGCTGCAGCTGCACACTGCCTGCTCATGTCCAGCTTCTCGTCCACCAGCACCCCCAAGTCCCTTTCCTCAGGGCTGCTTTCCAACACCTCACCCCCTAGTTTGTATTGGTGGCAAGGATTGTTCTGGCCCAGGTGCAGAACCTTGCATTTGCTCTTGTTGAACCTCATGAGGTTCACCTGGGCCCACCTCTCCAGCCTGTCCAGGTCCTTTTGGATGACATCCCGTCCCTCTGGTGTATCGACAACACCACACAGCTTGGTATCATCCGCAAACTTGCTGATGGTGCCTTTAATCTCCCTGTCTATATCATTGATAAAAATGTTAAACAGCACCGGTCCCAGCAGGGACCCTTGAGGAACACCACTTGTGACTGGTTTCCATCTGGACTTTGAGCCGTTGAGTACTACCCTCTGGATGTGACCATCTAGCCAGTTCCTTATCCACTGATTTCGCTGGCTTGGAAACACCGACTTCCAATTGTACCTTCTAAAATATAACAGCTAAACATAGAATCATAGAATGGTCCAGGCCGGAAGGGACCTCCAAAGGTCATCTAGTCCGACCTCCCCACAGTCAGCAGGGACACCCCCAACTAGACCAGGGCCTCGTCAAGCCTCACCTTGAATATCTCCAGGGAAGGGGCCCCAACTACCTCCCTGGGCAACCTGTTCCAGTGTTCTACCACCCTCACAGTAAAGAATTTTTTCCTAATATCCAATCTAAATCTGCTCTTCACGTGATGTGAATGCCAAAGACCTTAGCCCAGCTAGGAGAGAGCTGCAGTTACTAGAAACCCATCATAAAGTCAGACTTTGCCTTCAGGATACTGTGAACCACGAGTAGATGATCATCAGCAATGATAGGGGGAAAATGCAGATGATCTGAGTAGCCTCTGCTGTTCCCAAGAACATCAATAGAAAACACACAAATGAAGATGTCCAAACAACAAAACGCACACAGGCGGATCAGAAGCCTTTGATAATTAGTACACCACAAATGTAAGTAGGACAAGAAGGAAAGAGGATAATTAAAATAAGAAAGAGTCACAGCAGGATTATTACAAAGAAGGGGGAGGGAGGAACTGCATGGCATAAATCTGGCTGTTACCAAAAGCTGCTGAATTTCATTGGGTATGTGACCAATGAAAGTAGGGAAGGGAATGGTTACAGCATCTTCCAAGTAGAGATAAAGAACAGCCTTTCTTTAAAGACAGACTCAGAGGGGAGGGCAGATTTGAAACAATCTGGTGTCACATAAGGAAAAGGAGAATTACCAAACTACTATGGAACAGCTACTGTAATTCACTTGAAATTGTTTTATCTTCTGTAAACCACGAGATCCATTTTCTCTTAGCACAAAAGATTCACATTGCTTTGCTCTATCACATTACTCATTATGTTCAAGCATTAGAGCTGCTGCAAATTGGACTGAACATTGTAAATCCTGGCCTAATAGTGCGAGTGTGATAATCCAATTGCTGCGTTGTTTGTTATTGCTGCAATTTCCCCTAATGAAGCAGCACTATTTGCCTTGAGAAGCACATGGGCTCATCGTAAGTGGCACTATGCAGAGATAACAAGAAAATGAGATGTTAAGAGTAAAAGATACTCACTTTTCTTTCCGTCCATATCTGCATGGCTTTTCCGAGCCAGAAATCCAGTTTTATACACAGCAGCATTGGGGTCATGAGGGATGTCCAGAAATGGGTTATTTGAGTTGCCAATTCGACTGACAGCCTTTGTCTGGCTCCCATTATCCTTTTCATCTGTACCTTCTGAGTGAGACTTTTTTTTCTCTTCTTCATCCCTTAAAAAGCAGTGAAAACCAAGCATGAACAAGGGACTCACCAGCAAAGCTTCATTTCAGTAATTCTTGCATGCACCTTGTCAAAACATACCTCTGTCTTTATAGGGGGCCCTATTTAGAGAGAAACCTAGACATGTACCAAACCAAAGTTGGATTATAGCAAAGCTTCAGTTCACCTACTTCACCAGGACAGGACATGGGAACCAGATTTCCAAAATGCCCAAGGTTCCCTTTAACAGTCTCAAAAGGTAAGATTTCAAGAGTGTTCTGTGTCCTGCAACTTCACCTATTTTTAATTTCACTTACTTGAGTGCTAAAATGCGAAATATTTGCCTGCTGGGCTCTCCTGAAAAATCTCCAATTTCTTCATGAGTTCACATGCAGATAGAAAGAATTAGATTACTACAGATCACCGTGGCTTACCCCTTAACTTAGCATATGAAACACAGACTCTACCTCCTTTTCTTTATTTTCCTCTGCAGACTAACATAAAAGTAGTAATTTAAAAATAAAAACTACACTAGGTGAATTATGTTATCTGTATTTTAGAAACAAAATGCTGCTCAAAATTCTACGTATTAGGGCAATGTATTCAACACAGCTCTTGGGGACAACAATGCAACCCATTTCAGCAAGTCACAAGCATTGCCTGACTAGTAAATGCCTTTTTGCACCTCACAGCCAAAGGCAAAAAGGACTAGGCAACCTAGAAAACAAAGGGTGTCCATCACAAGAGTAGGATGGTGGTTTTCAGAGAACAGGCCACTGAATCTGAGTGGATGGTGGATGTGGAGGAACTACAGTCAGCATCAGATTACAAAGCAGCCTTGTGTCTTTTGAAGTCCCCACACATTCCCCTCCAGATTACTGGGAAAGGTGTCAGGGAGGATGAAGGCTGTCATTGGAAAATCATGGTAGCTATGCTTCTCTTAAGAGCAGCACCTGATTAAAAAAAAAAAAAAAAAAAAAATCATTATCATCTGAGTGTAATTATTGCTAATAGTAGGGGTGGATTTCAAGCTGCTGCACCTCACTGGATCCAGATGATCTGTAGAGAGCAAGCTCAGGCAGACCTGTCAGTCATACACATACGTTCAAAGGTGTGTATCAGACAAGGATTAGCAAGCTTATGTCAGTCCATAAGCTCCTTTTGGGGCACACTGCAACCATGTCTGCTTATGGGGCATCTAAAGAAATGTCACTCTAGAACTGCAGGCTAGAGTAACAATCTGTCCTGCTCTCTGCTAAAATGGTTTTCTAGGGAATAACTTAGGCTGAGGAGATACAAGGATAATAGACCGGTGTGACAAGGACCCCAAATCCAGAGACACAGGGGATTTATTAGTGAGCTCAGCAGCGTGAGGGCATGTTCCCAAGCATTTGACTTTGACCACCTCATATTACTTTGTGTTTGGCATGGTCTGAGGCCAGCACAGTTCCAAACAATTTCCAAACAACACACTAGGAATCAGCACAGTCACAGACCACCTCAACAGGCAGTATAGAGGCAAGCATCTTCTTTTGGAGGGCAAGACTTTTCAACAGTATGGATACAGATGCTGCACATTGACATTCGGTCTGAGAGTCACACAGAGGTGCCAGACATTTGATTTAGTTGCAAGAGATACAGCCAAGGTGGTTCACCATACCATCATGGTGTTGTGTTGCAAGGTCTCCTGATTAAGAGGAACAAAACTTTCACCTGAAGACCTGATTCCTGCAAGGGAGAGAAGTCCTTGCATCATTCAACCTATTGGTAAGTGCTTTCCCATGCCAGAACAGAGAGATCTGCAAAAAACTTTTTTTCGGTAAAAGCAATAAGGATTTCTTCATGCATGCTTTGGTTGAAGCTCTCTCTTAACTGAAAGAGTATAGGAAGTTTGTTCCCACCCTTTCTGTGTCTCCCACACTTACTAGCTGCTGGCAAGTCTGGACCATTGTGTGACATGTTTCTTAGATACGTGTCCATTCCAGGAGCAAATTCTCTCAACACAAGTCTGTGGTACATAATCCAGACTAAATTCTCTCATAGGGCACAAGCACTCAGGCTGATTTGTCACATAGAAGTGCCTTGTGAATTCTGGGATCTCAGCCAAGGACACAGAGGATTTCTCCTTGTCAGCAGAGACCTACTGCAATAAATGACTTAGCATTTTTTTGGAATAAGCTATCTCCTTTGGAGCTATGGGAGTGAATTATCTTCTACTGATCAACTGTCCTGTAGGGATGTATTGGTGCCCTTATCCAAGTAGCCACAGACGTTGTAATGAGCAGTCCTGGGCATCCTAGACACCACTAGTGCTGGGGACAGTGCTCTCGAACTCAGCATCTCTGGGGTAGCTATTAAACAGGAATTCTTCAAGAGACAAATGCAGACACAGGGCAGACAAGGACAAAATAGCATCTGCTGTCACGACTACTAGTAGCACTGAACAAACCTTTAATTGGTCCTTTCATCTGTCATTGAAAATAGGACATCCTTGAGACTCGGGCACTAGTGAGAGCTGAGTGCTCTGACAAGATTCATGAGGTCAAGATGCACGAGCCAGTCTATAAGATGCAATGAAGGGAACCAGACAGGCAGCAGGGACTCATTATAGAGAACAAGAAATGAATGAACAGCTGAGAAAATAGGACCAAAATGAGCCTCTATCTCCCTCTGATCTTGAATGTGAAACACCAGCGGTAATAAAACCAGGGGATCTAGGACCCACCTCTTCAAATACTCCATGTTGCTTCAGTGGTCAAACACAAGAAGAAAGCAGGATAATTGGGAGGACTTTCGAAGTGGCAAAACAGTTCAGGTATTAGCCTTTGCTTACGTAACCTCCAGCGTTGGAGGAATAGATAGGACCTGGATAGGCTTTATCAAGGACATAACAATTTGAGCTTACTTCTCACCAGCCTTTAGGGTATGGCTGCAAGAAGCAAGAACTGCAGAAAATTCAGCTGGCCTCTGGATACATACACTTGAAAGCTGATCTTTGCTTGAAACCCTAGCGTGTGGTGGTGCAGCTGCTTCCTCATCCTCAGATGGCTCTCACAGACGATTCAAATCCTGTAACATCCCCAGAGTGAAGGCCTCCAGTGATGCAGAGGTAAGAGTCAGTGGGTGGTGTCTCTGTGCAGGTATGTTCAGTGTCATGGCTCTCGTGTCACACAGGCAGAGCTCAGGTCCTTGTCAGGGGCAGACATGGCATGTCTCCTTTCCACTTGGTACAGGAAATAGCCCATACCTGTGCCTTTGGAGAAAAAAAACCCACCATGTCGGCTCCAACACACATTTCATTAGCAAAACGTCATAATGAGGGTCCATTTAGGTTTGGAGAAGTCTCCGGAGATTTTCTGTCTTCGATCAGCAGAGGGAGATTGTTGCTGGCTCTGGATCTGGGATTGATTCCTCTGAAGACCCCTCTCTGATGACTGAAAGGGGCTGATGGCTGTGAACCCTCGCATAGGTACTAGAGTCTCTGCTCTGCAGGGCAGCGGTGACAGGAAAAGGCTACCACCTTTAGAGGTTCTCCAACACTCTGCTTATGGCATGTGATATTTTCAAGACTTCCCAAGACAAGGAGCTTCAGTTCCATCTCTCTTAACTTGTCTCTTCGGAAAAGGACCTGCAGACAGAGCAGTAACCAGGGCACTGGCAGCCCATGAGAACTAGCACACCAAAGCCAGAATCTGCCTCCTCTGTCACTTGAAGACACAGCATTGAAACAGCAATGTTTGTGTTCCCAAATGCATGATCACTGGCAACCGGAAAGAGTTTGCCTCTTAAACATGCAGATTTGAAACACATGCAAAAATTCAGATATTGCCATTTTGATGAAGAAATAAATTTTTGCCTCTCCGCAGAAAGAGCCTATACAAGAAAGTCCCATTTTTGTCTTCAGGGAGAAAATTACCATCCAGTTCTCTCAGTAACAAAACTGTTTCTGTATGGCCTACGGTCTGATTTGAGGCTCTGCCTTGGAAAAATGCTGAAATCACTAAGCTGAAAAGACAGGGCCAAGCCCTTCATTCTTAAAAGTCTGCTTCGTCTCTGCATTTGTTCAAATAGAAAATTTACATGACATGGCAAAAGCCTGAGTTTATCCATTTAAAAATTGGCATTTAAAAATATATTCAGATTTGTAACATATAATTATATGAACCTGTGGAACTGATAGTATCTGTGTTAGGAAACTGACTTAAGAAACCAGTGAAGTTTTGGCACCTTTCCCAAAAGGAGGAGAGAAGAAAGGAGAACCAGATGATTCCCATCTGACCCCCCTCTCTAAAAGCAATCCTGAAGTTGCAAAGAAGAAGCATCCTAGAACTTGGGAGACAAAGAGTTAATTACAATGGGGAGAGATTTCTGGGTCTGACCTAGAAAAAGGTGAGCTTCAGCACAGACGTCTTTATAATCACCCTGGTCTCAGCGTCACAGTTTGCCGCAGGAAACACAGAAAGGATTTGGCAGCGGCCCTTTCCCACCATCACTGTCTCAAAGACCTATTTTGGTTTGGCTCGAAGGAGAGTGTTTTTCAGTGCAGTTCAGAAAAACAAAAAAGTATATACTGTGTCCATGTCTAAAATTCTCCGGGAAAAAAACCCTGCATCATCAACTAGGCAAAAACCAAATGATTCTCCTGAAAACTACACTATCTTGCTGACAGAAATCTTTCAGGATACAAATTACTCAAATGCAGCCATTTAGTTTTTGCGTTTTTTTTAAGCAGCACTTTGGGATTTCATATGTTAATTCTAGATCACCACTCAGCCTATTTTAAGATTATGATTTTATTCCTATCACCTTAAACAGGAAGGAGACATAATATTACAAACAATGGAGAAAAATAATGTTAACCACTACATTTCCATGTAGACATCATGCAAACAAAACATATTTAGCTCTGGCACCTTTGAAATCAAACAAATTTTTCTTCTTCAGCTTAAAACTGATGATGATCCTTGCAAAAGAGAAAGGATGAGAAATACCTAACAAAGCCTGGGCCATAAAATTATAGACAATGGGCCTGAAGGGATGTTAAGAGGCCAGTTAATCCATCTCTAAAACTCTAAGGATGGATCCACTCTTCCTAACCCATTCTGGAAAGACTAACCAGTTCACAAAAACCTCCTCTGAAAGTACTTCCATAGCCTGTCCACGCAAACCTATGTGCTGGTTTGAAAAGCTTATTACTGGGAAGCATTTTTTAATGTTTAACCCAAACTTCCCTTGTTTCAAATTTAAGCACATCCACAATGGGTGAGAAGAGTAATTCACACACTTCTCCTCTGATACAGCCTTTATGCACTGAAAAAAATACACTTGGGTCCCTCTCCTCGGTGCTCCCTTTTCCACTTGAACAAGCCCAATTCTTTGAATCTCACTGCTAATGTCCACAGGATCTTGAATTCCTTTTGTCTTATGGGTGATATCAGAGTTGAAGGCCAAAAGTTTACCATTTGAGGATGAAAAAATTTCATGGAAATATCAAGTCCCTCCAGAAAATGTAAGCAGTATGAGAAATTATGACATGATTATTGGGGCTACATGCACTACTGGGGTGGTTCCAGTGACTTCAGTCCTCTGGAAACAGGATGCATTGGACTAACTGCATGAAATAGTACGTAACTTCACTGCAGTCAGTAGGAACTTCTGCTAATGACTTCAGTGAGGTCCCATCACTACTTCATGTTTTGCTCGCTGTTCAAAAAAATGAACCACTGTCCAACAGACAGGAGAGATCTAGAACTGTAAGCAGTACAGAGGAAATATGGAATGAGACAAAAAACAGGATAATAATGTTTCTGATTGTTAGTTTTCCCCTACTGCTTTTCTCTTTTCTCTCCGGACACTGTACAACAAGGCCAGCAAGAGGAAGCAGCAAGCAAAGGCATGCCAAGCAAATGGCAGTGTTTTCTGGCAGTTCTATTGTGAAAAGTCACCCAAAAATTTAGGGGGTGCAGTGTAGAGTAGGAGCATTCAGGATCCCACATTCACCAGTTCAGGGTAAATTTGAGGACAGATCTGTTTATTTTACAGATCATAGTATGTGATTCGCTTTTAACCTTTCAGAGAACTTGAACCTGGAACTACCGCAGAAAAATCAATCTCTCTTCCAGAGCCGTACTTGCACTTCCCTGATCATAAAGGATAAACGAATACTACTACTGAAATTCTCTGAAGTACATCAGCTGATTAAGGTGCCATTTCTCTTGACTACAACACTGGAATCAATGGTAGCCCTTTCTTTCTGGGGCTTTGGATCAGACTGTAATTCTACTGGAAATGGACAGCAAAACATCTAGGATGATGACTCACCTAGCTCCCAACTAGTAAGATAAGGATCATATAGCAGTTTTCCCCCCATTTTATCTATCACTGTTACCCTCCCCTGCCTATGGACCTACTGACAGTCATTAAATCCAGCAAATAACATACTGCCAGAGAAGCTCTTACACTGTTGCTTAGCTCATAAAAGAGAGTCTTAGATCCTCAAAGGGATTCTGGCTATAGGAAAGGCATTCCTTCCACATGCCAGCGTCATGAGGGAGCTTATGCTGAGTTTTGCAGTACTATTTCCAACTTCACCATACTTCCTACTTCCTCCCTTGCCAACTGCATCAGGGAAGCAAAGAGATACTTTTTTGGAAAGGAGAGAAGATCTTCCTCAGTCCCATCACAACAAAACCAACTATATCCACTTCCTATCCACCCTTCTCTGCAGATCATGATAGCAGAGCAAGAAGCATTGTGCCTTCTCCCTCTAGCTCAGGCAATGATGGGGCTCCTTGAGGTGATTACACCAACCATATATCTCTGTAAAAGTGAGGAGAAACACATTCATGCTCTCTCTTCCAGCCAGCACTCTTAGCCCTAAAGGTAAAGGCACAACATCTTTGACTATGACCAGCATGAGCTTTGTTTCACAGCATGTTAAGTAACTGTCATATCAGTCCCAGCTATATGTCCAAGTTTGAGACTGAAATGGACAACTGGTCACATTCTACTGGGAGAAGGTGGGTTTACATCCATATCCAAAAGCCTTATTTAAGGAGGATTCTGCTTTTCCAGCCTGCTTACAACTTTCCCCCAAACAATTCATTAGCAATGGTATGGACTGTACTATGTAAACGTCGAAGCAGTTACTACCTATACAGGAACAAGCTATCTCATAAATCACCTTGACTGAAGCTCATGGGAGCAGAGCCAGGAATGAGCCAGTTCCCACCTGGAGGCTGCCCAAGAGTATTAGACACAGTATGGTCTCTTGCCAAGAGCTGGAGGAAAATTCTGACATCAAGAAAGTCACATAATGGATTCTGTTATGTCTAAAGTGCCTGTGAAGGAGTATCTTGCAAACAACTGTGGTGGTGTGACATGTAAGACACAGTATATTCCAGGTCCAAGACACAGTTTGGGAAAATGTCTCCCATCACACCTTTTATGAGGCTTATCAGAGATGGAACTTCTTGGTGATTCCCTTTACTTCTTGGTGATACACCTTGCTCACTACTCTGACATTATTTCACACATTTCTGAACAGGAGCTGCAATCCCAGTTGGGACCAGCAGCCCTTGTACATAAGGATGCACATTCTGACAAGAAGTTCATTTGCAGATGATGAACTTAAGGAAGATCAGAAGCTAATGGGCTTGCAAGACCTATGGCAGTTTTTAGGTCTTCTACCAGAAGAGTTGCAGGAGCATGCATCCTAGACAGGTGAGGTTTCAGATGTGTAAATTCACACAGGTGAACATCTTGTACAGTCAAAATAGATAAAAGACATCATTCTTTAATTACACACCAAAAGCCACTATTCTGCAGGAGGCAAAATCTAAAGCAGACCCCACCTACTCTTTGCTGGCATACCTAGACCACATAAAACCTAAGCACAGAGAAATGTCAGTTTAACACAATCAGAAACTGAAGCTCTTTCCGGTCTGCAGTATTTCCATAGTTAACAAGTGTTAGCCTGTCGAAAGCAGCTAAAGATGGGGGATATCAGACTTTGTCCAATTTATCATCTTTCATATTAGGTTGTTGTCAAGTTATCCATAGTTAATCAGGAGACAAACCAAGACAATAAACCAACAGCAGGAAACTCAATCCAAGATGTGTGTTTCTATTCAGTGGTTCTGACACAATGTACCGAAAGATAAAGGGAGAAGTCAACTTCTGTTTTATTTATGCAGTCATATAACAATGGAGGATTTAATTTCTCTCTTTTCAGGCTGAAGTTTCCTACTAAATGAAATGTCCTCTTTCCTTACAAATGCAGTTGGCTCCTATCATTAACAACTCCCCTTGCTGGAGAAACAGATGAGGCAGTATTGCCAGGTCATTCATTAGCAGAAAAACAAACTCATTACGTACGCTGGCTATCTTCTACAGGATTTGGAGCCCACTCAGACAGTGACATAGATGTATAAGCAGATTACTACACAGGTACTATTTTTACATTCCTAATTTCTACACAGTATACTTACACTGCCCATTCCAACTTCTCATTCTTGATTGAATTGTAGAGGGCCTGCAAAGGGAGAGAAATGAGATGGTATTATTGTGTGACCCCCATTGCACATACATTAATATGCTGAGGAAAATTACCTAACCAATACCACAAGCAAGCTGTCTCTGATCAAGGAAGTACCATATCTGCTCATGGTAATGCAAAAGTCTTGAGCAGAAACCTCATCTAAGGAAAAAATACCAGAATGCAGGGTTTGAGATTACAGACATTTTCTCAGGCAGGTTTTTGGGTTTTGTGGTTTGGGGCTTTTTTAAAATAACCCTGTTAAGTTTGCAGAAGTCACAAGATTACAGACTTGGAATTCAAGGTTCAATCTAATTTCTGATAGTCAGTGGTTTGGGTTTTTTTGGTCAGTGACTTTAGATTTCACCATAGGGGCTTACCTGTAAAACTATGCTACAATAGCAATCCAAAGCCTATGAGCCCAACAGACACCTCAGTGCTTCCCAGCCACACACCCAAACATAAACGTGTTCCATTTCTACGTGGAAAACTGAAAATGAACAATAAGCAGCTTTCATGTTTGAAGATCAATGTCTTGGACTGCTGCCTGTTAATAACATTACTCTTTCCATTCATAGGAAAGATGCCAATAGGTTTGACATCAAAGGTCACAATTCTGTTGTTGACACCAGCCTCCAAAAAAAAAAAAAAAAGGGTCTGGAGGCTGACTTATGCCTGGGTGCATATCAGACAGTTGGGATGGATTTCTTTTGAGAGGGAGTAGGTATGAAACTTGGATAACTGTCTGATTTTAGCCCTGCAGTAACTGAGGCATACAATGGATAAATGCCTGCTATTACTACAAGCTAATGGAGTTCTTCAAATAGGCCACTTGACTCAAGTGAAGTATTTTGGTATGGAATGTCCCTGATTCTCACACTTATAATCCACATTTGTAATTTACCTTATATACATAGCTAGATTTACTCCCTCTGGCACATAACTCCTACACAGCCTCAAAATATGTTAACGTGTAGAAGAACTGTTGATGCACATGATTACAAAAAAGTAGCACATCAAGTATGAACAAGCCTGAAAATCACATACTATAATAGCTATGACATACTCAACAGAAACATTAGCATTTAGATAGCCTTTACTCTGACCCAAAACAGAAATAATTTGGAAATTTGAAGAGTTGAAACTAGTCTTCTGCATATGCCACAGCTAAATGTGCAACGAGAATCCCATGAGGTAACCCACCGCTCAACCTGCAATCCACTGGCTCCTTGCTGAATCTTGCACAGTCTATTTGAAGATCCTTAATATTCAGTTCAGTGAAAATCTGGCTTGCTTGAACCATACACAAGAAGGTCAAACATACTGCTACAACTTGCCTCATGCTACACATGCAGCAACTTTTAGTCACAGTGTACCATAAAAGCAGGTTTCTTAGAGCAACAGAACAGATATGACCACCAGGAGGAATCACCCCACAACCTACTTACAGTGCTAGCAGAGAGAGGTCCCCACTGCTAACAGGGCTTGCTGTGATACTCACAGCAATAAGACGAAATATTTCCAACTCTGGAGTTTTCACTCTCTGTTTCTATTTATCCTGTCTTCTCCAAACTTGTATAAGGAGCTCTGATCCAAAGGCAAACAGCCAGAGAAAGGTAAAGTAAAGGGCACTGCTGGCAGTTTGTACGCACTTTGCTTAATTTTCAGGTGAGAGCTATCAAGAGATTTTAAGCCTACCCTGCAGGAAGAAAGCAAAAGAAAGGGCTAACATTTCTCCTACCATGCAGCCAGCAGTCCAGCAGAAGTAGACGCACCTTCATTTTTTTGCCAAGCTGATGCTGACACTGATTCCCTGGGGTCACCCAGTATGTTCTATTAGAAGCCAATATGTTTCTAATGATTTGGCCAAAGCCCCCTCTTTGACTTGTCTTTTTCTTCCTACTATGATTAAAATATTCTCTTACGTTTTGAGCCAGGAAACGACTTCCACACATAAGGCAAAGAGGCTGCATTTTTCCCAGTTACCTCCCCATTTTTTTCAGAAGCAGCATTTTTTTTCCCCAGCTGGTTGGACGAGCATTTGAAACGTAGCAATAATCTGGCCTGGGGTGTCAGAAATGCCTGTTGTTGCTCTCTGGCCTAAATGCCTACAAAACTGAGTCACAACCTCTGAAAATGAACACCTGCCCTGTGCAGTACTGCTTTTTATGGGATTTTACTGCTAAGGAATTCTCTAGGGATCACTGCAGCCAAAGAGCAGGACATACAAAAGCAGCACTCCAGATTGGTGCAGGAACAACAAATGCCCCAGGCTTTTGCCTTGTGGAAAGTGACATGTGTTCATCCCAATCTTTACTAATGAGCCAGACTCCATCTTCCTTCTTTAGGGAGTAACAGATACCAACCCAGTCATATGGCATACATCTGACAAAGGACAGAGTGTCCCCCACAAAGCATCAAATATAGCCTCTCAGAAAGTCTCTGCTATTTACAAAAATGAAAGAGAACACCCTAGAGAGTTCCCTGAGCCTGGGCAGCTGTATACAGGGCATGCTTAGGGGGTCTACCAAGCATGTTCAGTGAGACCTCAGTACATAGACCTCTCAAGGGGTAGAGGTACATGAGTTCTCATGCCCCTAGACCACCTCTGTTGTGGAGACTGCAGCTGGGCTGTGCGCTCACCACTGTACTCACCAGCCTTTTAGAGCTGCTTTACGTTCCTTCTCCAAAGCAATTTATGCTTTAACATTTTCCTGATGTCTACTGGGCTCTCGCATGATCTGCAGAACAAAAATTTCCTCTTCCCATGTTTTGCAACCAGTAGCAGACATGTACAGCCCAGCACCTGCTCTATCATTTATTTCATGGCTGTTTCCCAAGGCCCTGATTCAGACAGCAGCTCTTTTCAGTAGACGTTTCTCCAGAGTATGATTAAATCAAACAAACTTGGAGACAAGTTAAATGCTTCACTAAATTACAACAAAGCTGATCAGAGATTATGGTGGGGACATGACTTTCACCGTACTAAACTAGCCGCAAGGACAGGTTTTATTAACCCATGTTTTCTCTCTGGGAAATGGAAGGAAAAAAAAAAAAAAGCTCTGATTTAAAGCGCTGTTACAGTTTGACAACAATCACAGCTTCTTACCTGCTAGCCTGGAAAGTGCTTGGTAAATTTGCTACCTAAGCCAGGAAACTGGAGGCTGGACTACAGCAGGGAATGCCAGAACGAACACTGCACAGGTCTCATCTTCCAAGCTAGACTGATACGACTTGGAAAGGGAGAGACTTTCTATCTCTTTTGGCACCCAAGGCTACTGTAGGCAGGATCCAAACCCCCCCAGCCACCAACTACTCAGCAGTATCCAACTTCACTGCTTAAGCTCTATTACCCAGACCACAGAAACCCACTCCTTACAGCTTTCCCTTTTCTGAGAATTGCTGATCTCTGGGTCCACTACACCTGAGGCCCAGCACTGCTCTAACCTTCCTGGAGAAACAAATGCAATTTTGAAGGGAGAATGAAAGAAATTAACTGCTGCATAAAACAGAGTAGCAGGCAACATCCTAGACACCTTCCTTATTTTTAAAAGTCCAGTGCTGTTTCCTACAGCGCCAATTTGACCCTTAGCAGACTGCAATATAACAAAACAATGGGATTTGTTATGCATTTGTGGGATTTGTTTGTATTTTTTCATAAACTGGGCAAGAACCTTTTTTAAGTGGAAGCCTGTTACTCTGTAAGAAGCTGTTGAATTCCATCCCCATTTTCCCTTTGGTGAGCACGTACGTCACCTAAAAGTCCAGATTTTGACAAGCTCTCACCACTTGGTACTTTTATTCCAATTGGAAAGAAAAAGCAAAACTATGCAGGGAGAGCTTCTGAGATCTCCTGTTTATTTCACAAAGCTGCCAAGAAGGAAAGGTCACTCGCCATCCTCACCTCCCTCAAAACCTTGTCACAGGCATAAAGGATTGGACCCATTTAAACGGGCTGCTGTGGGCACCTGCCGACTGCCGGCGACGCTGTGACTCAGCCTCTGCATGCAGCAGCAGCAGCAAACGTGAGAAAGGCACAACCAGGTGTGCACACAGGGACAGAGACACAACGAATTATCCAGATACTCATCTCAGTACATCATCTAGGTCACAAGTATACACAGGGTCCCCAAAGCCTGGCCAGCGGGGTGCAAGAGGTCCCAGGGCACCGTGTGAACCCTTCCTTCGAAAGGCAACTTAAGGCTGGCTCTTGAACCAGACTACTGACTTTCTGTATACACCAGCCAAGAGGGAAAGGAAAACACGGCAGGTATTTCTTATACCTGCTCTGTGCACAAAAGAGAAGGAGCCAGAAAGGCCTGCCGTGAGCAGGTAAACAGGCAAAATCAAAACTGAGTTCAGAGAGCCAGCAGGGATGACCTAGACTGTCTTCTCCAGACTCTCTGCCCACACGCAGTCCCAGCCTGATTTCTGGAGTCGTCGTTGGGGGAATGACCATATTACAGGAGATACCCCAGTTGGCTTATGCAGACCCCAGGACTGGGATGCACTTGTGCTCTCTGACCGAGGACCCTGCAGCCACTGTTAGAAGAAGCCCTGCCTGAGCACATTTCTTCTTCACCTCCAGCTGGTAGCAGCACTGTTGATCCCAGGCAGCCAAGGAAGCCCCAGTCACACCTCTGGGCAAAGATTTGCTCAGTCTTTGCAGTAAGAAGTACTCAGTCACAAGTTCTGCAACTCTCCCAGTCACCCAGCACTGGCCCATCAGCTCTGCCCCTGGGACCACAGCAGGCAGGCAGGCATCACCCACAGCTCCCACCATTCGTGGTTTATTAGAGGGAGGAAAACCACAGAAGTATCAGAACCCTACAAAAAAACCCACAACCAACTAGGTTACAGAGGCAACAACAGACATCACCAGTGTCTGCATGCCGTCCTGAAAGGTGTTAATGTGCCTGTCCTTTGGACCCGGCTGTGTCTCTGTGTCATTGCCTTGTGCCAGGTTTGGATGACACATTGCTATATACCACTCCCCATTTGCTGCTTAGGTTGACCCTCCCTGAGAACTGTTATTTGCATACAGATCTACACTATTTCACCATCTCCTATTTGCTGCTCTCCCCCAAAACCCAGATCTTGACATTTTTCTCCTCTCCTCATGCATGGATCTGTAACACCTGGTAAGACAAGGATAAGGGCTCTGATCACTGAGTGCCTGTAGCTCCTTGCCAGGCTCAAAGCCCACATCCCCAGTGTCTCACATATTTTGCCCCTTCTGACACGGATGCAGCAAGGATGCCAGAGTAGTACCCCAAGAAGCCCGTGGGTTAGTGCATGGCATGGCATGTCTGCTGATATCACTCTCAATTTCAAATTCCACTGGTTTGTACAACAAACGTTCTTCTAACAAGCCGGCATACATTATTCATAAAACAGCACAGAGCTGTTCAGCAGCATATGGAACCGATGAATGTTGTTTTGGTGTGGGTGGAGATAGGGTTGATAGGAATGTTTTAGGGGGAAGGAAAGGAGATCATTTCACCCAGGGAATTTCAAGTGCGTCACCAACTGGAGGAGAACATTTCTAAGAGAAACTCCTCTGTGAAAAATCTGGTTTGTATGGAGAAAGGGGGGGGGGGGGGGGGGGGAGGAAAAAAGGAAAAAAAAATTGTGCCAAATATATCATGAAAATTTGTTTTCCCATGATGCCCATGCTGGATAGTCAGACAAAAAAGGGCTGCCTGGCAGAGCTGCACTTTGTGTCAGACAGACTTGGTTGGGCAGGCTCCAAGGTGCTCCTCCTCCTTACTATTTAATTACTGTGAACAGAGGTTTTAACAGAGAGAGATGCTATTTGAGACAAGGCTGGTTAGGGAGATAGCCAGGTCCTTGGAGTTAATAATTAATTACCAGGCATTCTCAGTCTTACGACATTAACTGCTTACCCTTTTAAATAGTAGTAAATTGGAGATACGTGTCTAATTAGAGAGTTGTAAAATGTTTTGGAGGATTGAACAGAGAGAGAGAACTTACAGAGATGGAGTGGGAGAAAAGTGGGTTGGGAGGGGGAAAGGGGGGGGGGGAGGGGGAGAAGAAAAAAGGAAAGAAAGATTGTGCCAGATATATCATCATAAAATAGAAAAGGATGGTTAGCTGGGGCTCCTGAGAGCCAAGAAATTAATGCCACACAAGACATACGTCCTCTGTAAAACTGATACATGGGGGTTGTTAGAAAAGATTTGTTCTATACTTGGTGGAGTGTTTCATCAATGTTACTGGTGAAGGCAGCATATTGAATTATTATGGGTGAAAAAATAAAAGACTAGGGAAGTGTTTTTTGATAGCGGAGCACCTACACAGCCCATTTCAGAAATTGTTTTATTGGCTCTGTGCATTTGCAGGCAGGACAGGCACAGGCACTCACTCTGCAATTCAGCCCATGGCTGCGGGAAACCAGAGTCTGTCGGGAGGAGAGACTGCTGAGCACGCTGGGTCACAGGGATGATCCTAAGGTCCTCTGACTCACCTTGCACACAGCCTGGGTTTGAGGCTACTCTCCCGAGAACAACAGTACATCAGTCCACAGTATCCCTTTTGCAGGTTCTCCTGCTGGCCTGAGGCTGCAATACCTGCCTGTAATACACAGCCAGGATGCATCACCCACTGGAGCCCGTATACGTACAGGTGCATGAGTGCATATACATGTGCGCCAAAGCACTACCTGGTGTTTTTCAATAAGATGATGGTCCTTGGGCTACCTAGCTTCTTTGGCACTGGCAGCAGGCAGAACTCATGTGCAGGCACCATGCTGGTGCCTTGTTCATACTGGCTAGAGCATAAGGATATGTAATACTCTCTAGCTCAGCAAAACAGGCTGAGTCACATAAGTGCAAAGTATGTTGCTGAGGCACAAATGGGTTAAATCTGTCTCCTTCCCCAAATCAGCTGAAGCCATCACAGAAACAGGTTTTGAGTATTGTAATTACTTTGTATGTGGAGCAGACAAAATGCAAGGCAGTCCAGACACAAAAGGGGAAACACACCCACAGAAATACAGAAGAGGACAAGACTACACATCAAGGCCTGCTTTAGACCAAGGGGATCTACACAGCACCAATGTCCAGAAAGCCCAGCCTAGAACTGAAGATATTTCATGAGAGGTGATGCACAAGCACATACTCAGGCTTCTACTGATAAAAAGACCTCCTTTGCAATGCTACACATTGGCAAGAACTTCCAAGTCTCTTCCACCAACACAACAGAAGAACTAAAGCTCAAATATAAATTTGTTCTTCAAATCAGTGACGTCTTAGCAAAAGAGATCGGCAGACAAAGAACAGAAGGGGAACAGACATATGGAAAGAAATGGGCTGCCCAAAATCACAAGACCAATCAGTGGAAGAGCTGCTTGTCATCTTGTCAACTGGGCAGGCGTCACTGATAGGCATGTAGGGATCTTCTCAGCCCTCTGTAACACAGCTTTTACAGGTCTTAAGATGCTCCACAGACACAAATACCTTTGTACAAAACTAGGAAATAGCACTACTAACAAAAACAAAGCTGCAGTATGCTTCCCAACTTACTGAGCTAGGCAGGAGAAGTGGGTGTCTCTCACACAACAACCTACGGCACTCAGAAGGTAGAAATGTGAATCCCACAGAGGGATGAACACAGAGTGTTGATTACTGCAGTAGCTAACTAACTGTGTCAGACACCATCCCTGGGAGAAAGTCCCTGCCCTGAGGACATTACGCCATGCATATACAATGGACACAAAGCCTGGGAGAGGGTACAGAGGTACAGAGATTAAGTGATTCACCCAGTGTCAAAAGACATGAGTTTCCACCATATGCTGAGACTTTTCATACATAAATCCTCCCACTGAATGCCATGCAATTATTTCCATGCCAAGGATGCAAGTGATCAAAAGAGCAGGGTCTCAGAGCACCTGCAAGATGCAGCCTTTACTTTGGCATTTGCTGGAGTAGCAGATACTGCATCAGCAACAGCCTGAGAATGATGGCCATGCTATTTCTCTGCCACAACCTTAGCAGTACACTATTTCTCAGTTATGGTCAATAAGGCCCTCAAAACAGAGCTTCCTGAAACTGAGCTGAATAAAATACTTTATTTCCATTTGCATTACTCTGTGATTAAAACCCTGCAGCTGAGGCTCTGAAATACCACACAACCTGTAAGTGAGCAGAGAGTGATCTGCTAGGAACTACTGTGCAGCATCGGGATCTTTTCACCATAGCAGAGGAGGTTTCTCTCAGGACAGATGTGAGATTTAGGGGACAGTAAAGAAAGATCCATGCATGTGCCTGCTTGTTTTCATGCACACAGACACAAGACATGGTTAAATGCCGTTGGCTGATGCTCTGCAATATTTCAGCCTCATTCAACACACCTTTGCAAATGGTTATATCCTTGAATCCCAAGAGAGAATCAATTAAAGGTACATTTGGTCACTGCATAAAGTTCACCCGACCCTTAGAAACACAGGGCACCTTTGGGAGGAAAACAGCTATTAAGGCTCCTGCCAGGGGTTCCCAGGTGCCTCTCAGTTACTGAGCGGGAGCAAGGAATGAGGAAAGAAGCAATACTGCATGGAGTGTGGGTCGTTTGCCTAGGAACCGAACAACCGGGCTCGGCTGAGCAAGGAGATGCAGCACACAGCCACTGTAGCAGCTGGGCATAGCCTGTGCTACCGACTGCTACAGTACACTAATGTATTCCTATAAACGCACCAGTGATGCCTTCCTAATAAATACTTGACGACAATATTTAATCATGCATGCAAGTGAGATGATAGTTTTACCTACCACCCACACCTGCTAACCCACAGAGCTGTAGAGAAGGATCAAAAACTATTTTGCTATGCAAAACCATTCCCATTAAACAGATAATCCCACGGACATCACTTGCCAACTCTGGCACCTTTCCTGAGAGCAGAGCAAGTTTTCACTGTTTACTATTGCACCAAGCTCAGTTGGTGACAGGGCATTCCTCTAAGACCCAATCGCTATCACACACCAGACCTTTTTCACCTTCAAGTCTCTCCTCAAGCCTACAGATTTTTTTCTGACCCAACAGCAGTTCTGTGATCACTGCAGATCATCTAGAGCCTTTAATTCCTGCAGAGCGTAACCTTTTCAACACCACCACCTCCACTCATAACAAAGAGAAATACTATGAATATTTAGCTATTTACCTTGCTTTCTTTAGTAGAAAACTCAGAGGAGTTGGAGATTTTCATAGATTTTGACCGATGGGACTGTCGCCAGAGGGATTCTTCTCGGGAGTATTTCACCGAACCTGTGGCTCTCACCCGGACTTTGCTGGTGCTCTGAACACTGTTAACTCCAATCATTTCCAAAAGTGAGCGTATGGGATGGAGGAGAAGAAAGCTAATGGCACTTCCCAATTCCCTGCAGAGGAACTGGAAAAGGTTACGTCTGGAGAGCCCAGGCTCAAGCAATCAGTGTTTGCTTGAAGCACACTAGGCTGTTTTCTCCAGCATCTTCAGGCACACTGTTTGGAGCCAGCCTGATTGTTCCAGGCATTGCTCACGTCACTGGACAGGGAAAAAAAAAAAAAAAGGGGAAGGAAAAAAAAAAAAAAGGAAAAGAAGAAGCTGATAGAAACTCCTCCCCTTGCTCCACTCCCCTCTCCAGCATTGACTCCCCCTTCACACACACACCAACAGCGAGAGGGAGAGAGGTGGAGAGAAAGATGCTGGAACAAATGCCAGCAGATCAAGCAAGAGATTCATTTTCAGTTCACACGGCCACACTTCCCTGCCTGCAACAGCCTGCCATGCTCATTACTGCCTGCAATAACAAAGGACACCGTAAAAAGTCTTCAATCACCTGCCAGTTACAGGCTTCTGGATGTGAGAAATACTGATGGATTCCCAAAGCACTGGAGAAACAAGTGAAAGCCCACAGCACCATAATGACGTTCTAGCAAGCCCCAGAGAGATTCCCCAGCAAATTTTCACTACTCTAAGCATTTGCACTCATTAGCCAGAGTCCTTGGGGTGCCTTCCCAGCAGGCAAGGAAGAACAAGACCACTTCCACACTTTACGAGATGCTTAGCACAAAAGAGGTGACTTTCCCAAGGTGGGCAGTGCAAACCAGTGCCAGAGCTGTGAGCAAGCAGCTGGGGACCCATCTTCCCCCGGAGCATCCAGGAGAGCCGTAGCTGGTAGCCCTCCACGAGCAAATCCCAGGCTCCAGCAGCCGACCCCACAAGCGATGCTGCTCCCGAGCCGTGTTCCTCACCAGTGGGAAACCCACACCACCCAGCGATGGGAGGGCCACTACCATGGCCCACACACGCCAGAGGCACTGCTCCAACCCACGGGAGCCCAGCTCCACAGGTCAGGCGCGTTCCCAGCGCCTGGAGGTGCTCCCCCCCACGCAGGGGGCAAGGGGAGGCTGGCACCAACGGCAGCCAGCCCTCTTACCAGGGGTGGATGTGCTATATAAGGGAAAAGAGATGTTTACCTCAATGTTGCAAAAGCACCATCATTTCTGGCTCCTGGAGACCCAGAGCGCAGCAGACTGTGCATTGCCATGGCAACCTGCTCCGATGAGTGAGAGAGATCTCAGCTCCGCTCGGCACGGGGTCGTGGCAGCTGCCGGCACATGCCGGGGCAGGTGGAGCAGCTCAAGCAAGCACCATGGTAGAAGTGGACAATGGGGGTATCATCCCGAACTCAGAAGGGGCAAACAGCTTGTGCAGAAGGAGCATGAGGAGCTGCAACACTGCGGCACAGGGACCTCACCACGGGCTAACACTGGGTCCAGCAACTTGCCACCAGCCCACCAGGCAGGGCAAGGCCAGCAGCACTGGGGTCATGGTCTGGAAGGACACCAGACCCTCTCATCCCACTCCCACCACGATGCACAGGGAGTTGCAAGTCTGCACATGTGGCTAGGGACGAGGGGTTGCTGCCCTAGCACACCAACATGAACGTCCTGTGCTGAAACACAGCTGGCCAAAGGCTGCGTAAAGGGGCTCCAGCTCCCCAGCTATTCATGCCCATTTGGTGTCAGCTGAGCTATGTTAAGGCAGGGTGAGAGTTTGCTCACCCTACATCACATGCATGACAGCACCCAGGAGCAGATAAGAAGCAGATGAATTGAGTGGGCTTTTCCCCTGGTTACACCTTCTCAGCCTCTTGCAAGCAGGGATTTATGTCCTTAGTGGGCAAATGGCTGGACATGCACATTATCATTCTAGGTGCATTTCTGCTTGTAAAAGACGTTGATGCCTCCCCAGTATGCAGCAAGCCTTTGGCCAGCAGTCACCCTTTGCTTATTACTGCCATGGATGCTACAGATGTAAATGCTACCCACAGATTGCAATAGGTGTGGACCACGCTGAAGGACACAGTCAGTTTAACAGGCAAAAAGGGACCTAAGTATCAACACGAAGTGTTCCCGAGGCTACCAACTTCTGATTCTCCACAGACCCTGCCTCTGTCCTGTTTGAGGTACAGGTTTGTTCCCACTTGGCAAAAAAGCAAAATGTATTCTCATTTCCACAACAGTTGGGTCTAGCAACCCCACCCCAACCTCACACATTAAGATCAAATCCCAGACGTGCTCCAACATTTTTACACAAATCTGTCATTGCTAGGGGGTACCTGAAGGAACAGAGGACCCTTTTTCTCTGGCAACAAGCAATTGCATGTTCTAAGTTACTTGTGCCACTTCCCAGAAAGGGTTTTATGTTACTTAACCCGTCTGAAATTATCCACTGCTAGTGGAAAAGCTTTTCAAAGAAAATCTCTTCTTAGAGGAAATTTTCACTGCAATCAAACAGCTCTAGATGAGCTAAGCAGCAGGTCCCGACAGGTGCTACGTAAATGGCCACAAATCACTCCCTATCCTACCAGCCCCCTGCCTAGCAGATTATTCTTGATCTTGGATTTATAAGGCCACCTCCCCAAGCACCCTCAACACATCCAAAATAATTATATTCCCTAAATATCACATGCAGACCTAGGCCAATGTGAATTACGCAAACCAATTTCATTATTAAAAGCAAGCTAGACTGAATCACAGCAACATTTCTCTTCTGTTGCCCACAGCACAGCACCATCGCTGCTGTCTAAGTGCAGCAGCTCTCCAACAAGCATCCTCTGAGCTGAGGTTAGCAGATCCTTAGGCAGGACAGGAACCTCAATTCATGAGGGAACAGGTCTGGTTCAGCTGTAACCAAGCAGCAGTCCAAAACACCAAGAATGACAGGCTGCATCGTCTTCATTTTTTTTTTTTTCATTCTCCAATGGAGTATGGAAAACACTTCTCTCTCAGCTCACACTCTCCAAAAGAGAGAGCCTCCTGAGATCATGCTTTTGAAGCCTTAAATGTCTTCAGCTCAGGGATTCAGCTCGGATTTCACCAGTGCCCCTGATTTTCATCTGCAAATGATAATACAATCTTGTACTCCTGACTGAGCCAGAAGCCCAGTGGCTTCTTCTGGGGAAAGACCACTCTTCAACGGTAGAGAAGTCCCCCCATTTCAGAAATTAGCACATACACAGGATTGATTTCTGTCTGTAACTGAGCAACAGAGATTTCTGAGGCAGAAGTGGGTTGTTAACATAAGTAGAGGGATAGAAAGGATTTTATTTTTAAAGGGAGGGTGATATGGCTGTGCAATATCAGAAAAAACAAAGCTATCCACACTCAGGGGACCCCTCCAGGTGTGTCAAGAAGCCATGATCTTCCCCTTCATCAGAGACCAGCAAAAAGGTGGTGAAAAAAGGGCAGAAAGGAGATATTCAGACAGTCTTTAGTCTGAAGAGCCAGTGACACCACTGGGCTGGCCAAAAGAATGGTGGTTCTTATTTACAGACCTTCCCTACCAGCACCTCTAAGGAGCAAACCGTAAACCAGCAGCAGAATTTGAAACTTTGGACCAAAACAGTTTCAGGAGGGAAAAAGCAGAGCCTCTACTCTTCCTGCCATGTCACCCTTTTAAAGCAACCCAAAAGCTTTACATCTGTCACAGGCACTATGGCAGACTACATCACCCATAGAGGAAAGAGGCAACCTTTTCAACTTACAGTGCAATAAGGTCCTCCCATCTCTTCCTCCCATCGGTCAAGTTTCCCTGGGAGGTCAAATGTTGTTACTCCTTGTTTGGTCCCCCTAACATCATTCAACACAAGAAGAAAATCAACAATACAAGAAGAAAAGCTATGGAGTTCAAAGTGAAATCAATACTGGCTTTTAGGGACCAAACCCAATGACCACGTTATTGTGTCTGAAGAACTCCAATGTCCTCACACAAAGCCGCAAGAATCCATTAGCATCATTTAAGCCTGATCCCAGTGACAAAAATAACAACAACAAAAGCCAACAAAATACATAAATACACACATATCAATTACCTGAAATACACTCTCAAGAGCCAGTTTGCTATTTGTGTAGCACAGAAAAGCAGCACTATTTAATGCTGCTATTAAATACTGTTTGTTAAATAAACATTAAATCTTTCATAAGATTGCTTTCCTTCCTCCTTGTTTTCTTCTTCTCCCCAAAATGGACAAGGCAGGGAAAGTTAATTCTCCTGGATAAGCTACTCATATATACAGAACTACAGTTCAACAACTGACCAACAGTAACATTACTGAACTGACATTCCTGTGATATTAAGATAATGATTTCTGAGGTCTGCTGCCCAGAGGGAGTTGACAATCAAGATTAAATCTAAATGTCTTCAACTGCCATCCCTGTAAACAGCAGAAACACTGGAGCAGCTACTTCATTTCTACATGCACAAGCAACAAGGTCAACAGAAAATCTAACAGGGTAACAGCAGGTATGGTGGGAGAATGAAGGATATTGATGAAAAATTTCAAAAGTATCCAACTAGCCTTCCCTATGAAATACTCCTATTTTCAACGAATTCCTGTACATTATTACCTGACATTTGCAGAAATGCTGGGTTTTATCCCAGTCTGAATTTACCAGAAAAAAAAAAATTGGTTGATGTGTTCAAGAAACAATCCTTTGTTTTCTTATGGTTTATGTTCTAGTACTGGTATTATAGTACCAGTGCTATAAGCTCTGAAGGAATCCCTGGGGATGACTGATTTCTCTTACAATATGGAAAGTAATCCTTACAATGGAAAGCGATCAAATTACTATAGTCTAGAAAGCTATCCCATGTCAACTAGGCTATTGTAGCTGCATAAGCATGTGCTTTTAGACCACCTCAACCATGAAGCAAGGCACATGAACTCATAGCACCAGAAAAACATGAGCTTTGCTCATATGTCCCTATGAGGGCAACTGAAACCTGTATATTTTACTTTACAAGAGAAGCAGGCTAAAAGCACATCAAAAACCAGCTGGCTTGTGGTCACCAACACAAGTCCTGCTTACTGACTTTTTATATCAGCAAGCCCCTAAAAGCGA